CTCAGAAATATCACGTTCAATAACACCGCGATCGGGATGCGAACCCCGTCTTTTGGGGAATCGGAAATAAATAAATAAATGAACGGACCCAGAGAGAATGCTTCGATCCTATTGGCTTGCTGGACTGGTCCAGTATTCTCGACTGGCCCCCGCGTGKCAGGCGAGAATTCTACCACTGAACCACCAATGCTACGCCTACATACAAATATGATCTTGAAAAAAAAAAATTTAGTACAGTAGTACGTACAGTAGTACATACAGTAGTACATGTGGGCACAAAAGCTGTAGAATTATTTATGTGTGTAGTTCGGGCTTTCTACCTCCTTGTCTTTGTCGCTCTGTACCACCGTCACTAAGCTGTCTAACATGTGGCTTCTGTCCTCTTCTGTGTGCACCAGAGGCAGGAAGCTCTGGAGCATGTAGTCGACCAGCTCACTGTCCAACCAGGAACCATCACTGGGTTTGTGCTTCTCCGCCATGCAGGATTTTGTTAGGTCACATTGCTCAGAGGACAACACCACCTGAAGACAGATTTGGTGAAGTCAATTTGGAATTATAAGTTAAAAAGAACCCTTCCCGGCCTTATTTAAATGGACTGGAACAAAGAACAGTAGTTAATCCCCTTTTAGAAATATCTGAGGAAATGTTAATTAAACCAATGTATTTAGTCCATCATTATGTTATTAATAAAAACACTCATCATGCTGACCTCACAAAAAACAACACTATAAAGTTTTACCTTAAAATAGCAACTTTAAAATAAATTGAATGGCACAATGACTTGGAGAATAGACAGACCTGCTCTAGCATACAGTGCAAGATCAGGGGCACTGAGCAAGCTTCGGGTGGAACCAGGTTCAGTAGGTCGCTATAATAACGCATGTCCACATCTGTAGAGAGAGGAGGCAGTTTGGTCTCTGTCCACAAAGGACAGATGATAGAAAAGAAAAACGTTACATTTGTCATTCTAGTTTTTAATTCAAAAACACACACAAGCATTGGCCAAAAATACATGGGAGGGCAGAGAAAGGCTTTTACCTTGGTCTGGTGGGCTTTCCTCCTGCAATGTCTTCTTCTTGGAGTGTGGAGTCATGGGGGGAAGGGTTGGTACATCCTAGCAAGAGAAACACACAACATACTTGGTAATAACTCTAGTAATAGTTTTTGATATATAGAACCTATGAAAACAATAAGCAGCCAACTGATTACATTTGCTTATGATGCTTTATTTAAGACTGTATGACAATGAACACACATCACTATGATGATCACGGTGGGGGGGGGCTTTAAGAGCCATATAACTTCAGCAGCTCTTTCCATTGTTTAAGCTTGTCATCCTGGAGGTTTGTAACTGTACTACAGTACCTTAAGCAAACATTCAGAAATGTCTGTGGTTCCTGCTTGTCAAATACTGCATAAATATTTGCAGTTTATTTATATATGTTTTCATACTTAGTGATATTTTCAATTACATTTCATACTTAACTCTTTTTTATGATGTTGTACATACCAAACAATTAGTCTGCAGTGAAGACTACAATCAATAACATCAGGCAGGCTGACATTCATGACTACTTGATTGTATTTCACGTAAAGGTGTCATACAAGCCTAAACAAATACAACTTGATAAAATATCATGTTGTTAGCGATACTACTTCTATACACTAACTGCATAATAATGCTACAGCAGTCCCTACAGCAGAGTGGCGCAGCGGAAGCGTGCTGGGCCCATAACCCAGAGGTCGATGGATCGAAACCATCCTCTGCTAAGATGGATCCTTTTTTTTTTGTTATGAAAACGTGTAATTGAGGATCATACAGTACAAGCAAACAAGATGTTTGAAGACATCAAAATGATCTGAGCAAAAGATTTTTAAAAATGTTTGAATGAGGAAAAAATTGTCTAATAATAAATTAAAATAATCCTTTGTTGAAGCTCTATCATGTGGTAACACTGATTGTCATGTGTACTGTATGTATGTACCTGTTTAGGTGGAAAATCCAACCCAACAACAGTGGGTACACTGATGAGCTTGATGTTGTCTCGGTAGTGCTGATGCTGCCTGCGCCAGTCCAAACAGTCATAGATGAGATTGGCAACACTGTCAAAGACTCGACCTCCCAACTCCAGCTGGACGCACAGTAAACCGACATAAAGATGAGAATCAAAATCAAGTCATAGTCAATGTCCGACAAGCAAACACAGTGAGACACAGACATTGAGAAAGACAGTGCTTGAGAGTGATGAAAATGAACAGCAAGAAGGTGAGTCAAAACACAGAACATGCAAGAAAAAGAAACAATATTTTATATGAGAAAATCAATACTGAGAACACATCTACAAAACATATATCTCACCACAGACTCCTGTGGCTGGATCGTCGGTAACAGATCTGGAACAGTGTAGCTGAGCTGAGCCACATTGTGAAGCTTGGAGTCGAGAGGTGCGCTGTCCAAAACTGGTCTCAGGCCTGACCAGAAAAGATCCAGTCTACTGGCCCGTGCAGCCCGCTCCATGCTAGACGAGTCTGTGATTTATTGAATCAATTTATTCCTCAAATGTATTAAAAATGAATCATCTCAACTGTAAGTATGAAATATTCACTCCTTAGATTAAGTACACTGATATGTTTGAAAGCATGTCTAAGCTGTGACCTCTGCCTCATCAAATGGGTGAAGAGGGGGATACACAAATACTGGAAGATATTTACCTGCATCCAACACTGGAGATGTTCTCTGACTCTGCTCGTTGCACTCAGAGGTGTGTTGTTCCTCCTCTGAACACAGCTTGATGACATTGGCTACATGTACACCAATGGCATCAAGGACCGCGATCAGGTGGGGCTGGTGGAAACCCAGCACCAGGATGTAGTGCTGAGGACCATCGTCAGGCTCATCATCTGCACCCACACGCATATAAACACAAAAGTATGTTAACACCTGTACACACGAGCTCTTGTGTATAATAATTTCTTGTAATTTTTTACATATTGAAAATATATTCCCCTACTTGTTGCACTGCTGTAGTTAATTATTAGTGTTATTTGATGCTCTGTTGTGTGGTGTGTGTGTGTGTGTGTGTGTGTGTGTGTGTGTGTGTGTGTGTGTGTGTTTGTTGGCACCAGTTAGGAGGAAGTGTTTGTGTGTTCATGGGTTATTTTTTTGTTGAATATATACTATCTGACTTTTTACCTATGAATATAAGTGGCCCATCATCCCTGCGTTTGAGTTTGGTTTTCTTCTCCTTGGACGGCAGACCCTTTTCCTTTTTGTCAGAGACCTTGTTGACAGGGGGTGAACAGGCCTTTGCCCTCTCGTCCGAAGCCTTAAACAGAAATGGACAGACAAAATGGCACAAAAAAACCCAAAGGAAACAGTTCAGCTCAAGTCACTTCATAGTCTGTACTATGATGATTGGCAAGCAGCTTTTCAGTGCAGAAAAAAGATTCAAGGAACATGGCAACACTTTATAGTTGACCATAACCTGAATGTAAATCCACTCACCATCCAGGACTGTTACTAAACCTTTAACACATGCAACAGCTTCACATATATGAAGAAGCACTCACCTGCTCAGCCGCCCTCCTCTTCTGATCATTTGTTTTGACCTCAAGCAGCTGGAATTTCAGTATTTTTGCCATCAGGTCACAGGAAATCTCTTCTCCTGCATCCAACTGCACCTTGGCAGACTCTGTAACCTGCACATACAAAAACATATGTGTCACAAAAGAGCAAAGTCTTTGCACTTACACACACAAGCAAAGATTAAAGTACACCAGCACACAGTTTCTTTTCAGATAGTGCTACACTGGCCAACTGCTCATGAAAAAATATTGAATCTCTGCTAATTACCCCTCTGAGACATCTCAAACTTACCTCATAGAACATGGGGACATCATCAGGTTTTTTTGTTTTTGGATTCCCCAATTCATGGATCTGTAATAGAGTTGGACAGAAGAACATTTTCAGTTTACAAAATACAAGGAGTTTGAGCTGCTCTCACTCAGTACAGTGGGATGTGCAAACAAAGTGGGAAAAAGCTGAGATAAAACAGAAACAGATAATTCATACAAATGGAATAAACCAAACACCGTGACACAAATATATCTTTTAAATATGTATCACACCAGGCACAAGATGTTCAAGACAGTGAGGAAGAGGTTTGGCGCTACAAGAACAAAAACAGCTAGGAGACACAAATAACCACAAAGAAAGTTGACCTTTGCAATGGTGCTGTCCAGAGTCAACAGGGTGAACAGTTTGCGTTGAGGTCTCTGCACGGCCAGAGCCTGGACCAGCTCCTCATCCTCAAGACTTCTCCCGACCACCAAGCACACACAGGCCCGCCATGAGTCCTGGAGAGAGTGAGCACAACAAGCAACACGCGTGAAGGGCGTGAACACACCTCCCCTCCTTCTGAACACAAGCTCTGAAGCTCGGCAGTAACTTCTACCACGGAGCAGCACGTGTGTTCCTCAGAGTTTGGTTCATGTCACCGAATCAAGAAACAGTTTGGAAGATGAAACAGCCAAACGACACCTGCGGCTAACACGCGTGTAGCATTTCAGACGCTGTAGCTAGCAACGCTGGCCCCGCACCAGGTGTACCGACCTCTTCGAAGGGCGCCCCGGTGAGGCCAGCCTCCCAGTTCCTGTTGGCCACCGCTGCTGTGTCGAGCTTCTTCGCTGAGCCCTTCTTACTCACCTTAGGAGGCATTCCCTGTCAGTGAGTGCGAACTACAGAGAACACAGACAGTCACAGACGCTCACAGTCACAGACACCGAATCAAAAACACATTTAGAGAAAAGTTTCTGTGGCCCGCTGTCTGTGTTGCCACTGGCAACCGCGAGAACGCAAGGTGTCAGGTTGACGCTTCCTGTACTCCTTCAAAATAAAAGCGCGACAACGGTTCTTTTTCAATATTAAAGAGGGAGTTCAGCCATTACCTTCTCAGCACCAGTAGATTGGACTCAAAACACCTCACCCAACCCTCCATCGGCATATTGGTGAGTGGATCATGAGTGAATTTAATTAGTTTTTACCTGCAGTCAATTTTTGTTACGACTTTGGCACAAAATATTTCCTTGTCAAAATAAATGTTTTTGTGATGATATTTTTTAAGGTAACTCTCACTGAATAATTATTCTTTTTCTCCACCAGATGGCAGTAAGATCTCCTAGAAGACTCCAAATGCACCTGGACAAACCATTAATCCACAACACTGTAAAAATCCAATACACCAGCTGCAGTTTTAGTGTTTGACATACATTTAAATTATTTTCTCTCAATATAATAGTACCATTGCACAATAAAGTGATCCAAAAGCTGTTGGCACATGGCATCCAAAAGTTAACCAATGCATAGAATAATTTATTAGTTTGAACTCTTTAAAGAGCAACTCTGTTTGTTCCTGTCACTAAATGAAGAACTTGGGTGACAAAACCGACCAACGTTATGAAAGGCTGATTTGTTTCCACTGCCAGAATTTAAGTACCCAAAGCATCTCAGGGATGAGGACATGAGCCAAGTAACAAGAAAAACATGTCAAATAGAGAGTCTGATCTGATATACATGAATCTGAATCTAGAGTAGAATGATTGACAAAATTCAGATAATGCATCACAGGGGATTTAAGTATGACCAGGATAATTTAAAGGAAAGGAAGCTTTTGAATGTTAATCAGGTGAATACTGAAGTGGAATGAAGATATTGTATTAAATGAATAGAAATGAAGAGAGAGAGGAGAAAGGGTTTGTGGCCACTTCACCACTCCCACACACACTCAGGCTACAATTAAACAGACAGGATTTCATAATAATGATAATTTGCCTTTTATTATGCTTTCCAATATAATCCCATTATTAGAAGGAAACACTTTTATTCTGTATTTAAAGTCAAAATGTTAAGCAAAAAAATACTAAATGTATGCCTGTTCTTTTTGTTGCCTGTTTGTATCAGTACAAAGCTATTCACCATTTTTATGAAATGAAGATAAATCATAAATGCACGGTCAATGATCCTTTTACTTTTATTAGTTTCTTTGCAACACAGCTGACATTTCAAGAGACTTAATGACACCAGAGTTGAACTTTGATCATTCACAAGGGTAAAACTGTCAACCTAGTTCATGTTTACTTTGGGATTTGTCACAGCATATACAGATACTGCGCATTATATTCCCTTTCTTTATAGAAGCCTATTTGTGCTGTGCAATCTCAATGAAATGAAATGCATCTGTCACAATTTGTCATTGCTTTAATAAAAAAAATCTTATGCATAATGGAAATCCATGTCTGAAGCCAGCAGTGCATTAGTTATGGAGGAGTTGTCAGCTCCAAGCCCTCCAGAGGCAGCACCCAACCAAGGTCACACACCAACCAGATAAACACTGTAGTGACATTTAAGTAACACTCATTCACACAAATAGCAAACAGCATAGCAACATCTCAAAATATCCATATTTTTTTAGGATTTACTCTGCTGTCAAACATGTGCATCATGTGTCTGTTGGTGCTATTTTGTTACATTTAACAGCAACAGAACTGGTTAATTTAAGAACTTCACCCTCTTGTTACTCAAACTAATGCATCTCACAGAAGTTGAAGTAATCTGATCAGAGCAAGAAGTTCTTGACTTTAAATGTAAAACCAGAAGCAGGATTCAAAACATACTGGAGCCACTAAAATGGCAAAGGAAGATAGGACACAATGTTATTGGCAGTTACGATGGCGATGCTTTGCACCTCGAGGTATCTGTGACCATGGGCAGCAATCAATTTTAAAACATGTGCTCGGAAACTGCACCACACTGTATTTAGATGGTCTTTCAAATATCAGCAGCTCATAAAGCATCAAAGATTTGATTTTGATTGACACGTTGACATGAGGGCAAAACTGAATAATGAGAAAAATAGAAACCTTAATTAGTTCTGTAATGTAAAGCTTGTTGTTTCCATTTTTCTGGTCATTAACATTAACATTAACGAGCTCTTAACAAGACTGCATAGACTGTATATAAAGAAATCTCCCCAAGATTAAGCCAAAGTGTCTCAGTGTCCATCTGGTGGCTGGCTGAAGAATAGGTCATAAGCCCCAACTTCTCCGTGTTAGGGAATGGGACAGTAAAAGTCAAAGTTATGCATATCCTGGCAGGAGATCAGTGGTGAGGCTCCATCCCATAATCCCTACTCTGCAGACTCTGGCCCCAAACATGCAAAATGGCGGGCTTCGTATCCAGGAACTTTTGGCTTCATTTCTGGATGGTGGAAGGAAATCGAGTCGTCATCTTAAGATATGTTCCACAGTCCTGCTTGGTGCCCTCTGTGTGTATTTAACTTTGTGTACTGTGTTTGTAAGCGATTTTAATAACACATCTTTATTATTAAATAGAATGAAATAGAATGCTACAATTACTGAACCATGTGCTGGATTGAGTCTGTTGCAGGACTATGAGCACTGTCCCTCAGCCTGTGTTTACTCCTGTCAGATCGCACTGAAGCGTCAAAGTGATTTAAAATTCCTTTCACCAACATCACACGTTGCCAGCTCCAGTGGCAGCAAAAGGCCGTGAAATGCTGGAGTGTATGAAAGATTTGAATTTCAATACGCAGGAACCATGTGATACAACGTCAGCAAAGAGCAAACCACAAGCTCATGTTTACCAACCAGAGTCACAGTCCCTCTGGATGGAAATATCACTCTCAGTCAAGGGGGAAGTCAGTGTTTTGATTTGTTAGTGGCTCACGACCACTGACCCCAATGAAAATGACATTTGGACATATTATATTAGTCAGTGACATTTCAAATAAACCTATATAGTCAGAAAATAACAAGGCCTCATGAGTATTAGGGTCTCATAGGACAGCTTGTATAGTAATAGATTGTCCAAAGTCATGTACTGTTACTATTAATTATACTTCTCACCCTAGAAACACTATGACAGATTGATATTAAAAACTAAGATACACGAATACAGGTCTGATCAGATCGATTGGGAATATCATGTAAATTAACATGAAGAATAAAGATGATAATGCACAGAATTAATTGCAAACAAAATCACAATTATTGTTTTTTATGTAAATGATGCACAAAAACTCTTCAGAGACAGATAAACATATCTCGGCCATAAAATAAACCCTGTCCCAGGGTGACAGGCATGTTCCCAAACATGATCAGATATCCACTTTCTAAGAAGGAGGCTGTTCTTTGGCTCAGGAAGGAAACGGGAAATGATGCCCTGCTCGTCTCTTGGGAAACAAACAGCCTTATCCAGTGACTCGGACACCCATGTGGGGAGGGAGCAGCAACTCGAAGCTGGTAAACATGTATAGGCCATCAATGCCATGTGTTGTTTAGGTAGTGCACATATGACGGGGAAAGGCCTATTTCACAATATGGAGGCGTCATTTAAAACCCCACTATGTGCAATGAATGGTGTTGATACTGAGGTTCTCAAGTGCCACCAATAGATGCCTGAGCTTCAGTGAATGAGCTGACAGAGCCAGGTCATGCAGTTCAGGTTCTTTGGGCTGCAGCAGCATGAAAAGGCCTTCAGTACTTTTCCATGAGGGTCCAGCTATGTGTGTCCCTCAACAGGAGCATTAGATTTCTCCGTCTTTCTTTAGACATACAGCACAAAAGAGGATGTATACACTGTAAACATCACACCTTAAAGGGGCTCAACAAAGATTCTCAAAAAGCTTTGAAGGCTGGATAAATATTAAAGTACTGCTTTTAAAAGGAATAGTCTGACAATTTGAAAAAACAACCCTAGTTTGCTTTCTTTCTTTTTGCCCCAAATGAATGATCGGTTATATTGTCAATTGCAAAGTTAAATATCACAGAGTGTATTAGTTTTCCATACAACACATATTTTAGACATTCAGTATACAGTACAGTAGTCAAAGGGTTAAAGGTAAGTCTGCACAGTGTTGTATACATTTATGGGCTGCGCAATGCAAACTTGTACTACTGGCCCACTTTAGCACAGCAAAGCAAAGGCGATGGCACGTACGTGTGACACTGGGTAAATGATCACTGGTGCTTTGTCCCGTCACAATGACGACGATGCGTCTTTGCCAAGATCATGTGCTCCGGTCATTAGTCCACTGAAACCATGTCAGCCTGTTCACTCGTTTGTGCAAGAATGGTGGCTGAGTGCGTGATTGGTCTAATTTTATATAATCAACAAACAGTAGTTCACCATCAGCAGCCTGCTTAGTTTAAAATTCATGTAGAGACAAAGATGAAAGGGTGAATCACAGAAAAAGGGTCTCAGGCACAAATGTCCCACACAAGTGTCAAAGTCTTTGATTCATCGGACTCTCATTAGTATGGTTCACAAACAGAGGCCCTCAAAATCACTATGGAGACACCTCCATTAAAGAGAGTGAGAGAAATGTCACACAAACTCTGCAGGTTCACACAAGCAGCTGATGTGCTTATATAAACAGCTGCAGCCGTGCACAAGCTGCTCCTTGTGTACAATGTTGACCCGACATGAAAAAATATCTCCAACAGCAGCAGGATTTATTGGAAAAAATCAAATGGTTAGTAGGGTGATGAACGAATCCTTCTTGATGGGGTCATTTTTGTATTTTTCCATCTAAGATTCAGTCTACTCTTGCAATTACTGATGTTTGATGTATATTAAGTCTTTTTAAGGTAACTGCTGGTGGGATTTTTTTGTTATACCAGTGATGATGCATAACATTGTTATTAGAGATCTTGTTTCGTTCTCCTGCACACTGCAGCACGCTCGTTAACAGCTCCAGGGTCTGAACAATGTTTTGTGGGTGCTAAACAATTAATCAGACAGAAATGTTATTTAAGGTGGAAATAGTTTTTTTATTGTCTAATAGACAAGGCCTAGTTTTCCATCAACAAGAAGTTCAAATGGCACCAAAAACATTTGAAAAATTACTGGGAATTCACAAAGAAAAAAAAAATCCGAGCTCATCCCAGTTAATGGATAACATAAAAACAAATACGCTTTTACATTTTGGTTAACCATCCTTTTAATAATCTATAAAGTTTGTACATCGAAAAGGCATGTCTGGGGAGGAGGGTATAAAATTAAAAAAATGCAATAAAACATTTATACTAAACGTACACACATCTGTGATCGGAGTGAAAAAAAGGACATTTAAGGCATCAACATTCCCTTAGTGCGAGAAGCCCACACCAAGACAGCAGCATCTTCACAAGACATCGTCTTAAATACAGCATCGTACAACTATAGCTACATATGGCCCCCAAAGACTAAACTCAGTCTCCTATTCAAGCCTCGGTGTATTAACTGTTGCTGAACACATTCAATGTATCTGGAAACACTCAGATGCATCAACAAAGTGGCAAGTGTCTTTAACAAAAGTGTACCCACAGCATGTCCCCTCTCAATGTTGATGTGAACATAGCTTTACATTCATCTGCAAAATGTACTTTCTAAAATTGTGTTGAGTAACAATCGATCTTATAAGGGGAACAAAACAACATTCAGGATATTACAATGTTGCTGATAAAATGCACATTTAGAAACACTGAAGCCAAACGCAGAACCATCGGGCTCATTTGTGCACAAACTTTAAACCCTCAAGTTCAAATCTGACAGATTGTCTATGTAGAGCTGAACCGATTGTACAAAAACACTGTAGAAAACATGACACCATCAGCAGTGTTATTTACATTTGGGCAGAAGTGCGTTTACCCACAGGAAACTCTACACCCCAGTCTAATCCCTCCCATAGTTCAGCACTCCTCTACCACGGTACCAGCCGAGGAGGAGTACAGTTTTTTCTTGACAAGACGGAAACCTGGACTCAATTTAAGTACATGCCTGAAAGTAGGGGCAAAGCAGGTTCCCATAAAGAGGTCCCGTAGGCTGGGCCAGGCAGTGCCGTCCTGCTTGAACACAAGAGTCAACTCAAACGTGGGCACCACGGTGGCATCGTACACGATGCGCTCCAGCCGCTTGCAGCCCTTGTCCAACTCCAGGTGGACGTAGAGGACGCAGCCACGCAGGCCGCAGGGCTCGCACGACGCCAGCCGCAGTACCTCGCGAGCTATTCTGCGAGTTAACTTCTCTGGTACCAGCACAGAGGAGCAGTGCAGCGTCGTCTTCTTGGCTCGTGACAGGCAGTTTTCAAACATCTTGGCCAGCTGTTGACAGGTTCTGTCCTCAGCCACATCTGCATTCCTCTGGGGCTCAGCCAAGCAGTGATCCCAGAAATCCAGTTCTGAGGAACAACGCAAGTTCTACATTTAGGAACCAAGGCCACTTTACATGTAAACAACAACATGCCAAGTACCAGGGGAAAAGATAGGCTGACAAAATAACATGCACAAATCATGCTTTCTGTCCATTTCGAAGTATTGACCCATAGGACACTACATGCATGTGGTTAAGGTAAGGGATCCTAGGGATGGGTGACTGGGGCAAACATTTTAAAGATGAAAACTTTATTATCACAATAAATGACACATTATTTCTAGTTTAAAGATTGATTTTTGTTCCTGACTTAAGGTTGTGCTTTTTAACTCTTCTTTATGAACAGAGAGGAGACGAATATTTCACAAATCTGAGGTGAAACATGGAAACAAACATGTGACACCTCCTCACTGTGCTTGCACAATGCATAAGCAATAGATCTCTATATATGTGATTTCTGTTTGCTATATTGCCATTGATGAAAATGATGTTGCAATCATCATTTCATTATCCTAATTGATCTGCTTTTGCATCCTCTCTGGAGATTGTGTGTCAAAAATAAAAACTGCTCAAACACACAAAACATGAACAAGGGAATCAAACCAACGACAACACAGGCTCAGTGCAGTGTGAACCTCCTGCTCTGGTCACTGACAGACGCAGTTAGTGGGTGAGCGGTGCCTCTGTGCAGAACCAGGCTACAGGGATGACTTCATCTTCTTGCTGGCTCCCCCCTCACCCCGCCCCTCCGCTGCTGCAGCCATGCACCACACACAGTGATAAACAAGCGCACCGCCGCTGGAAGTGTCCCCAAACTAGCCTGTTAGCTCCAAAACACACGCAAACACAAGCAGGTCGGCGTGTACCTTTCTCTATGCAGCTCTGGTCGTATCTCCTGTCGACCAGGTCCGAGATGCACTCGCTGCTTTTGGTCTTTAACGTGCTTGTGGCGACCATGGCGGCGGCGCTGGTTCCTCCAGGAGTTTGTTTCAGCTGAAGCTGCCTGAAAAACACAGCGACACGTTAGCGTCAATTAAACCCAGGCGGCTAATTACGGCGGGTGTTACACTGTGACACATGCAGCTGCAGCCCCGTGAAGCTAACAGCGGCTCGCTCACCGTCTGCGGGAGGGAAACCACAGCTCGTCTGGATGAACACACACACACACACGATACTTTTCTTCTTCTGCAGCTAAATCACAAACACGCACTGACTGCAGCAAGCAAACTTCTGGGGGCTACTTATACCTTCAACGCTATCAGCTGACCAGAAGGTTCGACCAACCACAGCGAGTCTCCCAGGCTAAGCTCTGCACCGATTGGCTGCGAAAAGGCTTTAAATTTAAATGATTGACCAATGGCCGGGGAGAATATTTTGTGTTGCTACGTGGACGGGGCAGACTGCTGGCTGGAATCATAGACCGTGTATAAAGTATGTAGGGTCAATATAAAGTTATACACAGCATTTAAGGAAAATTAAGAATGTGGACAGATACACAGCTCTACACATCATATGATCATTTAAAGAAGGTTTTCTGATTGGTTTTCACTTCATTGGTTTTCTCCCACTGGGATGAAATTCTGTGCAAAATAAGTAAAACCTTCCCCACATGTCTAAAACATACAAAAACAGACATATTTGGCTTGTGAGCATCTGATGGGGGTGTGCGTGTCCTGGTTTAGCGAGCCAAAAATGCCTTCTCAAGTCATTATACTTTTGGGCGTCACAGATCTTAAAGACATTTGGCATGTGGATGTGGAGGGAGATATGGACTAATGATGTTTTAACTTCTTAGGGGGAAGATCCATTGCTCTGTGACCTATATTAAGGGAGAATTTCATTGATACCTGTGACGGTGTGGTGTGATGATTTGACATGAAATGATCCACTGTAATTAGATAAACAAGCACCTCCATGAATAGTACATTTGGCAGGTAGAACAGTGTGCAGTTGTTGGGCTGTCAGCAGTTTATCCCTCATCATACGCTGTCTCAAGAGAAATCTTGTCCCAGTAACTGGATCTGCCCCACTTCACCCACAGCGTGCAGCTCTGCTGGCTTAAGGGTAATGGAATCCAGTGGATGAGAGAGAGAGAGAGAGAGAGAGAGAGCCCTCCGACAGTCACATGGAGAGAACTAGATATGCCTCAGAAAAAAAAGTCACATGCTTTACTTCTCTTGCAGAACGAGGCTGTTAAGTTCATTTGAAAAAGCACAAGACAATAATGTAAGCAATCCAAGCATTTAGGTCAGTAGATGCAAATGATGTAATCTGTGCAGGGTGTGCGTGTGCAGAAGTTTCCTTATAACAGCTTAATAGTGAATAAAATATGTATTTGTGTGTATATGGGTTGACAACTGTGCGGTTTGTAAACTGTGCTGTCGAATGAGGCCTTGACCCAACTTCATGTAGAATTTACAAGTTCACGATATATCTTCCTTTCACACCTCAGCAGCCTACATTGTACTGTGTCATAAAAAAAAAACGTTAAAGCGGAGAATTGAATCATCACGTGTTTTAAATGATTTCTTCCGAACACAGGTCAACCAAGTAAAGCTGCACACTACAGCAAAAGAAAAGGTTTAATGTGGTGAATAAATACAGGGCCTGGGTTTCAAAGAGTCAGTTTCAGGGTTTTGCTCTTATCTGCTGCTATACTGTTGCAGCAATGTGGGTTAACTGTGCACACTAAACTGTTGTTTAGATGTAGGCTGCACATGCATGAGCAATGTGAACTGCAGTAGATTTAACATGCAATGCTGCAATTAGGTCAAAACACTTTGTGCAATAGTTTGCAGATTGCAACTGTCCCAACAATAATAGTGTAAAGTGTGCAGAATGAGAGGTAAATCATGTGAGCGGCACAAATTATATATTTTGGTGCACACTATTTTTTAAATTGCAGAGTTCAGAAATATTGATTTTTGCACTTAGGAGACACCAGCAACTGTAAGATCAATGTGCAGGCCTGTACATGTTTTCAGTGTGAGTTTAATAAAGACCTCGTTTGGATTTCACTCGTTGAATAGAGGTCATGTCAGTTTCTCTCTTTCCCCATGAGAGCAGAGACCGGGCCTGAGGTGAGGGGCACCTCTGCTTGTGTGACCTTCACTCCCTGGTGGTAAAACAAGCCCACCGAAAATCTGCTTGTGAATTAGCTCCATGCACCAACTCCCTGTTTCCCTGAATGAGGTGGAGACATGTCGTGTATCAGGTTACCAATCCATCGCTATTCAGATGAACCCCCCGTTATCCCTTGTCAAGACCCCTGGTATTCCAGGCTGACATGTGAAACGTGCTGCTTGTTGCACACAGTGAACCCCTCCCCCATGTAACTTAACAGCAGGAGCCTTTTTTTTTGCTGAGTTTCATTTCTTATGGAAAATAGCTGAACTATTTAACTCATTTATTAGAACATTTCGTATTTTTAATTGTAATGTTTTTTATTGTAATGTCTTGTTTTCCATTATTTTCTGTAGTTTTCTCCTCTAGTTATTTCTCTTCAGGTGAGGTCCCACAGATTTCAGGTGATATGCAACTAGAAAGTTCCCAATAATGACAGAATCATAGTTTAGTCTGATGTAAGATACAAGGAGCATTTAATCTAAGACCACCCGGAACCTATGGGATATATTGAGAGACATGTACCATTGCATTAATACCACAAATCTATGGTTGCCCTGAGAGCTCAGCATGCTACAATAAAAAAAAAACATGCAAATAGACACAACTCCACAAATCCACATTTGTCAAATTTAAAGATATTAAGTCATTGCAAACAAGACAGATTTAGAGTTTTAATGTGGTGATCACTTCCATCAGTGTTTTTCAAGCATGCAATGGTAGCAGCTCCACAAAGTCAAACACTGAGTAAAGTTTTTCTAAGAGAAAACACCCCGGCTGTAGATGAGAAGGTATTTGTCATAAAAAAGTGAGACTTAACACTATGAGTGGAGCTGAAGGACGGAGGCATGCCATCCTGTAACTCAGCCGATCCCACAGCTGGTGAGGCATAATAGTTGTGTTTGATTTGGCTGCTGCAGACCTGCTCGCCGTCTCTTTGGTGGACCCGTGCCCACAGTCGAAGCCGTTGCCTAGTGTCACCTTACAAAGGCCACGGATACAACCCAAGCACTGTGGGAATCGATTCAAAATGGAGGGCCATGGCTGCAAAATGGCAAAGGTCACTTAATTTTTTTACCACGAAGAATGAGCCATTCCATAAGAAATAGATGCTATTCTAACTAAATGTGAATTTATGCATCCAGCTCGTTATGAATGTCATGTTATGAAGATTGAGCAGCAGCACAGAGAGAGTTTGACACTGGTTCACTATGTCTCACTCCTCCGTTCTCAACCTCATGAAACCTCCCTGTAATAAACACTGACTTATGAACTGAAGGCTGAACCAGGGCTGGCTCTGTCTTGTGTTGAGTTACTGCACTCTCTAGTGGTTAATCACTGAACTGACACTGTCAAAATGTATTTCCCTGAATTTATAAGCAACAGTTTATTCTCTCCCCAGAATAAACTGGAACTCAACACACAAACTGTATTTATTAATGGTACTTATTTTTTTATGTCATTTTTTTCTTCATAGAAAGATGCTTCCACAATAATAACAATAAAGCAAATCTTGCAATAAAACCTTAAGTTCTAATAATGTGGAAAGTCGGAAATTGTTTTCATTTCCTGAAGCTTTTAAATGTGGCTGACCCCCCCCCCCCCAAACAAACTAACAAACAAATAACCAAAGATAATTTGATCTATTTTTTAGTGATTTATTCAGGAAATTGAGGTTGACCACAAAATTCAAGACATGAAGCAGTTGCAGTGTCTTTAAAATACAAACCTGATGCATATGATTGAATGTGTAACTACTGAAAACAAAACTTAACTACATAACTCTTCTTATTACATAGAGTCTGTTGTGCATCGCAAGCTTGCAGGCTGTTGGTTGTATGTTGTACACACTTACACACTTACACACACACACACACACACACACACACACACACACACACACACACACACACATCTATACAACAGCTCAATATATGATGGGTATTAACAAAACTGACCGATAATTCTAAAACTATGAAACAGACACTCATTACATCAAATATGTGACAGATCTGAGGTCAGTGCACTGTACAGGAAACATGTTTTGGACAGAAACGAGCGATGCAGCTGTGTTTTTGCAGGCTTGTGTCAACAGTATACTGAGAATGTAGCCTGCACCGGCATTTCAGAGAGATAAGCAGTTTTACGTCCTCACTGGTTGAGGAATAAGTTCACCTACTCTGAGCTTCATCATCACAGTCACGCTCTCTGCTCCATCAAACTACTGTCAGCATACAGAATCATACATGAAGACCACTGCTCCACACGTCTCCGCTCCACTCAACTCAACGTTCACAAATTAAAATAAAAACACCTAAGCTGCTCCTCCACCAGATCAGTACGTGGGTGACAGATGTGACTCATCCTCTGGCTGATCTTCATGTTTCCACCCTCCAGCTTTTTTTTTTATCTTGCAGCAGCTGAAACACACACAACAACAGAGGTAAGTGGTGAAACCACAGGAGGATAAAACCAGTATCTGAGAAATAAAAAGTCTTTCATTCTGAATTGTAAAGAAACTGAAAATGATCTGAAATCAGTTATAAAGACACCAAAGCACCTAAAGCTAAATAATCTTACATTACAAATAGGGCAGATGGGATTTTTTTTTAGCTTTAAAGAAAACATTTTCAAAATTAAATTCATGATGATTATTTAAGATTCACTTTAGGGGATGATCCAGGGGCACTGGCCCCAGCTGAAGTCTGATTGGCCACTGAAGTTCCCCTGTCTTGTCAGTAGTTTTACAATACCATCAATAAATATGACGATTTCTCAAGAACTTGTATTTTCTAAGCATTTTTAAAAGTACACAATGTGCTTGAACAAGAAATGAAATATACTCAATGATGTTTGGCTTTGAATCAAAGAGTGATGATGTGATGACTTAAATGTGCACCTTACTGAATCAGGAGTTGTGCATGGATGTTAGATTCGGGGATATATATATTGGCCCCTGTGTGTAAATTGTGTTTTGGCAGGAAATGTTCTAGTTCATGAATGTGGGATTTTACAGTTTTATCTGTGCAGACAGGAAACGTGGATTCCTGACAAGTCCTGTTAGGATTTCAAAATTAGAGAGATCCAGAGAAATCCTGCGAGTGTGTAACAACATAAACACTTTTTTCCTCTGTAACATTCCTCCGGCATGACTCCTCTTCCCTGGGAAGCTCTCAGCCAAGTATTCCAGGCCTGATTGTATTAGGGAAGGAAGGTAGAATGTTTAGTTCAGATTTCTTTTTTTTAAATGGTGGGGTTAAGGGGTACACTGAGTCTGTTCACGCGTGGATGTGCACGTGCATTCACCCCACCTCCAAACATGCACACGCCTGCAGCGCCTGGTCCGCAGTGACATTTACGGGCCGCACAATAGCCCCTTTCCAAAATAATCTGTGTTTATGTTAGGAAGCCCTGCTGCTTGTTTGAGGGCGGAGGGCCCAGAATCACAGGAAACACCTTCTGTTGCCCAGCTAAAGGCCCAGAAGCCCACACAGCACAATGAGATATTAAAAGCCTGTGACTTCCCTGCACTCGCTGCAGATCTGCGTCTGGAGAGACAGCTTTTACACAGGCATGGAGGAATGCGCTAAACAGAAGGAACCTGCGGAGGAAATCTCGTGGAAAATGGACGGAGGGCAGCTCACCGTTTTCGTCCCCGCCTGATGACTTCACCCCGAGGAGCATGACCCCATCTTTGGAGCTCTCGGGTCTGCTCTGGAAAGATGCGCTGTGGAGAGTCAGAGAGACACAGGGAGGAGGATGCTTTGCTTGTTCACACACTTTTTAACAGGCAGCATGTGGTGATAAAGATCAAACTTACTTCTCAGTGCCAGTGTCAATAGTTTCTGATGGAGAGAGGAAGAGAAGACAAAATCAAGTACATTCAGGGGACTGATATGATGAGTGTGGGAAAGTTGGTGCAGCTTGATGAATATCTGGAGGCTGTTGGGCCTTAGCGGAGATATGCGCTCTACCGAGTTCCATTTTAGTTGAAATTATTGAAACCACATCAGTTTGGTAACAAAATTCAAATAATATGACAATTCAAAGTTGACAGTCTGTACATTAGAGGCCGTGTATATGACATGAGTACATGTAAAGTCTACTTCTCTGTGTACCTGAGTTGCTGTTGATCTTCTTGCTTCTGAACCTGAGGATGATGGCGGCGGCAGCTCCGACCAGGAAGACGGGCAGCAGAATCCACCACAGCCTTTTGTCTGCGGGGAAAGACGGGAGGAGACGTTAAAGAATTACGGGGTAACAGAATAAAAGAACAGAGCAGCTGTGGACTCTACAATTTAAAAATACATGACCACCTCTTATTAAGCAAATTAATGTAACAATAGAAAATCCACACTGCGCTGGCAACAGTATGTGTATGTTTGCTTGTGTTCAGTGGGATTGTGGGAAAGCAACACGTGTCAATATGTGTGAGACGTTAAGGTTTGTCAGTCAGTCAGTTAGTTAGTTACATGGATAAGAACAGGTGGAGCAGTGGCCCAGCAAAAAGGAAGGTCAAGCAGATACAATGATAATTAGTGTTTCTGTTGTACGAGCAGATTTCAGATCAGTTCAGTACAGATAACTTCAGTTCAGTAGACTTCACCTGATTTGGGCGGCTCTGTCTCATCACTCCCTGTCTGAGAACCTTCAAAAAAAAAGGTTTGATTACAGATGCAAAACTACATTCATTCTTCCATCATGGCTTCATATGAAGAAAAACCACATATGTTAGGAGAGAAAAAAAACTTACCAGCACCTTTCTTGTCATTATTTTCTTTCTTGGTCTCAGTCTCCCCTGCAGACGGAATCGTTTGATATTTGATCATATTGATGTCAATTAATCAAATAATAGAATCAGCATTTATACAGATTGTTTAACCAAAAGTACTTTGTGGATTCCAGCTTTTAGTGAAAATGTACATTATATAAGTTTGAGGCTGTTTGAGTAAAGGCAAGCAGCTCACAGACAGTGATAGAAGTCATATTGGATATAATGTTGGTTTTATTCATCTCTATTTTTAATCTTAATAAACATAAACATAAAGAATAAAAGAATAAGACACAGAGGAAGATAACGTGTGTATATTGTTACTGTACCTGGGGCAGGAGTACTGGGGCCTGCAGACAATATGGATCAGTACATGTTACTTTGTTCCAAAGTTAAAATGCTGTGAATCATTTGACAACGAGAAGTAATTCTATTTTATCTTGGTACGTACCTTTGTCTGGATTTGATTGTGCGATATGTCCTAAGAGTTCAGATACAAGCACAGTCTCAGTCTGCATCATCACACATCACATCACACCAGTAAAACGGATCAGTTATGATGCACTACCTTGATCAGCCGAAGTTTCATTTTTCTTGGTCTCAGAGTGTGCGCTTGGTTTTGGAGTTTGAAAAGATCTCGGGACCACGGTGTCATTTTTCGGAACTGATAGAAAAAAGAAGGAAAATCATATGTAAATATAACAAATCATATCACAAAACCTATTATAATAGTATTTTAACTTTTAAGTCACCAAAAACAACTTCACATCCAGCATCACCACACACACATGAAAACCAATAACTTAATAAACAATAATAAATTGATGAATACCAACCTGGGTGGGGTTGAGTGACCATCATAGGCTTTGAGGTGGTGGTCAGGTTTAGAGTTTGAGAAGACTTCCGATCAAGAGAGCCATTACTCAAAGCTAATGAACAAAGGAAAATACATAGCTAATTTAAATATTAAAATCAAATCTGGAGCAGCACTTTGTTACTTTTTGTAATTTTGATAAGGCCCCCTGCTTTTAAAAATGATCTTTTTTTAAAATTTTTGTCTCACTCAGAAACAAGGAGGCTTTGTTTTTACATAATATGGATGTGATGCGATGTGATGATGAACTAATCACTGATTTGTGGATCTGGATGAAAAAAATCAGGAATATTTAAGGGTACTGATATTTACGAGTGAATGATATTTAGAGACTGCTGGGCCTTGGTGGAGGTAGGAGCTCTACTCAGTGTTATTCTAGTGTCATATAAGGGATACTGACCAAATAGTGCAACAAAGCTAACTTTGTAACTTGTTTTTAAAATGAAACCACACAGATGTGGATCATCCCCGCCAAAATAAAAAATGTGCAAAATAAATTCTTCTAACTTTGATTCTGCGTGTGGGAAACAGTCGAGGGTGCAGTGGTCATCGCTTTGGTGACTGTGACTGCAGCTGCAGAAGAAGTTAGCTCCATGGTGATCGGCGCTGTAGTATTAAGGTGTTCTTGAAAACAAAACAAAACAGGGGAATTAATTGAATGAATACAGTGCTGGTTGTTATAGTGATTGACCCAAAGAAGCTGCTTTTTAATATTTACAGTCTAAATAATAATTTATTGCACATTTTATTTATATGGGGTTTTTTAAAATGCTCAAAGACGTTAAAGTTGGTCAAAACAGAGCAAGTAAATCATATAAAATACACATCATTGGTATCTATGGAAAAGTTTCTATCGCCACAGGTCTGGTGCTTGTTACCATGTGTTTCCTGTAGAAGCATTGTTTCAACACACGTGCTCACCTGTGAGGTTTGTCACTGGAGATTGTGTCGGCTGTGCTTGAGTGCTGTTTTGTGCGACGCCTGATTGAGCTGTCGAATCTGTGAAGCAGAAACACGAGCGTCAGTTTACACTCGTGTCGTGTTGTCATGGAGCTGGCTACATCTTGTATCTGAAGGTAAAACAAGAGATTTGAAAAGTGGATTCTTATGCTCGACATCCTCACGTTTTGAGGTCAAAGTTGACTTTTCAAAAGCAACGTGTTCTCTAGGAACTAAAAATACTTCCATCGTGAAAACCACCAGTGTCAGCTTTTGCGTGTGAATCATTTCCAAGGATAGATACTCTATTTAAGGCTCAAAGTGTATCTGCATTATTCCTGTTTGGCAGAGCTTTAAAGGCCGTCGTCTGAGACAAAGACGTGCCCTCGCTCCGAATGTCAGACTGGGGAGATGTCAACATGGTGGTGGAGGTGGTGGTTGCATGTTGAGGTGGATATCCTCTGCTTGAAGCCGAGCAGCAGTGTGAAGCTGCATCCTGTCCCAGACACACCATTGTTGTCCCCCCCTGTCCTGTGCGGCCCAGCTTCCTGTCTTCACTGCTGTCAGCGGCAAACACATCACACATATTTCACACCAGAGCTGAGCCGGAGTCAATTAGAGCACGTTTTCTCTGTCTGGCTCCAGTGTCCTCCGCAGGAAACAAAAAACAGGGAATGTCCCAGTCAAGTCTCCAGTGTTTCAGAGCGAGTGCCTTGACACAAGTGGCCTTGAGTCCTTCAGGTTGTGTGAATTCAGAGCAAATATCAAGTAAGTCGAGTTAAAAGGTTCACATACTGCAGAGCAAGCACCATGTCTTGAGTCCTATAATTAGCTTTAGACAGTGGTGGGATTTTTCTGAATGAGGGGCCATGAAGGGGCCACAATTTACACAGAAGGGAAAATTGAAAATTGTTCCATGTTTAAGAACATTACTTAGAGAATTAAAAATGACACAGGGACCAATCCAATTTCAGCTGGGACCAGTCCCTAATTATGTGTCCTGAAAGTTGGAGCCGTTGCTTTTAATATACAGATAAAATGGACTTTATTAATGAGACACTTTTCCAGTCTCGACATCAAATCTAACCTCTTTACAGCACAAGCAGCATTCGCGGCCATGGGGCAATGTGGGGGTTCGACCCGCCGACATTCCAGTTAGTGGGCAACCCTCTCCACCTCCACAATGGCATTGACTCACCTGTTTTGTTGTTCAGCACTGGCAGTCCTGCAACTTGCTCTGATGAATCTGTGGAGCAGAAACACAAATGTGAGCTCAGTGGAAACCACTTGCATCATTGTCTGAAGAGCTGTGTTAACTTTCTACGAGCCCTTCTCTTGACTACTTATCAAGTGCTTGTGGACTGATCTCAGGCGCGTGGTGTCTCACGCTCACTGGCTCTGCTGTGTAGCCCGGGTGAGGGTGTTTCCTCCAGATGTTTATAGCCTAAAACACTGGAAGCAGATATGGGGCCAGATGAGACGTCTCGGCCTCAGGACAATGCCACGCTGTCTCTGTGAGAGAGGGGGCAGCTTGGTTCCCACTGGCTATCTGCAGTTAGATCACCTATCTGCCCAGAGCAGAACAGTTAGAGGTTCTTTTTGCTCCGCAGAAGGAAAACAAACCAATCACGAGCCGCCCTCCCCCCCCCCGCCCTTTATTTCGACCCTCGGCTGTCACTTTGGCACTTTAAGTTTAGATTTGTGCTTCAGGAACACATGTTTTTTCTGCCGTTTGACTAAATAAGGCCACATAATGTCTTCTTTTTCTAACTTGTACAAAGAGGACAATTGAGGGCGTATAGACACACACACACACACACACACACACACACACACTCCTTATCTCAGCCTGTATAAACGGAAACACACTGTTTGACTTGATGTCTCTGAGGTCATGTTCAAAGTGTCTTTTGAACAACAGTGATCTTTATCTCGGCACATACCAAAACCAAACCAGTTTACATCAATCTGAGCTATTACTGCTGCACATAAAAAAAGGAAAAGATGTTTTTACTTTCTGAGACAACATGGCCTCTCAAAACGATGGAAAATCATAAATGTGAAAATGTTTCAACATAATAAAGTACTGGATTCACGTTCTTTTTTAAAATTTAAATCCTCCCATTACACTCTGAAGGCTGAAACCAACTGATCTCAGTCCAGGGGACCTCTGAGGGCCCTCTCCTTTGATTCTTTGAAATCTTAACTACATATGTTCCAGGACAAAATCAATTTGACTTGTGTCCCTACCTGTTCGGACGACGTGGACAGACACGAGGAGAAGGAGCACAAGAACCCTGGTGGTCTTCATGGTGATTCTGCTGCCGTGGACCCCTCTGAATTCACCCTCGGACTCAGAAACTGTGCAGTGGCCAGTGGGAAAGGTGTCCGAGCCTCGGGCACTGTGCTGCCGATGCTTATTTGGACCCTGGCTGCAGATAAAAAAGGAGGGGGGGAGGAAATACACCGGCTTCCCTTCCTGACGTAAAGTGGGTTTGTTTGACTGCATCGCCAACTCCCATCACTTATTTTTTCCTGCTCAGACACCGCTTGACCAGTTGGGAGGAGACTCAACATTTTGAGGACGTCAACCAAATACATTGTAAATAATCATGTGGTCAAATATAGAGAAAACATTATAAAATAAAAAATGATAAACTTTGGGATAAGGGACTGCAGCAGTGAAAAATAGGAAACACACACACACACACACTCACACACACACACACACACACAGTCATATGCATGCACCAACAATCTTACAAAACTAAAATACAGTCACAGAATGAATTTCTTTTGTTATTCATCACAACTCATGGAAACAGAAATGACTGTACGTCCATCAATTCATAGTTTTTGAGTCTTATTTCCACTTATGGCTTAAAGGGTTTGACTCATGAGTCTTATAGGACACTGCAGGAGATCCTGGCCTTAAAGCAGAATTCCCAGGACTGCAGTTTGATAGAAATATTAAATACTAGCTGTTTGCGACTGGACTCGCTGCTTAGAATTTGACAAAATCTTCCACCCTCCCTGCACTGAAATACAAAACAAAACAGGATGCCAGTGTACTTCCTTGGATTTGAGGTGATTTGAACATTGTGTTTGATTCCAGTTGACCTTGAAGAGAGCCTGAGCTGCTTTGTTTGCTTATGAAGTTACTTTAGAGTCAGGTGGTATTTGATTAATGAAGAAAATTGGATTATCCCTAAAAAAGAAACTTAAATAAGTGAAATGAAACAACTTTCTTTTCTTATCTTTGATTGATACTTTGGTAATCACGTTAGGGTGGCTGCTACTCAAGAGGTAGAGCGGGTCATCCGCTAACCAAATGGTCAGCAGTTCGATCCCAGTCTCCCCTAATTCCACGCCCTGATGGCTGGGCACGGCAGTGTGAAGTACGACATAGATACACTGTAAGAATGTGTGTGTGTGAATGGATGAATGGCAAAACTGAGCTCTGAGTGATCATAAATACTAATACTTACTATTTAGGTCTATAGAGATTGAGAGTCTCTATAAACAAAACTAACATTTCACATCTAATCTACACTGACGTGGAGAGGAAGCCTGTGAGGACAGATCTGTCTCTGTTGTGCAGGTATTCTTGAGAAATCTTGGCTTGTCCTGGAAATTTAATCAAAGAAGTCACCAAGGTTGATGAAGAGGAAACACCTTTTGTTGCAGCTTCCCATCCACCAACACTGGCCAATCATCAAGTGCAACAGCGGGAGGAACCTTTTTAATTATGGGTAACGGCAAGTTCAGATTTCTGCAATCAACACCACTTAGCGCTTTAATACGGCTTTGTGTACATGTTGTGTACGTGTTGTACGTGTAATGCAGAACATGCTGTGTGGAATATGTATTTGATGACACACACACACATACACAGAGGAGAAACAGCTTAATTTCAAGTTGAAATTCATGCACATTTTTATTGAACAGTTATATAAAATACTTTTCATAGTTGCAAGTGCATGCCTCATCTGCCAACAGTTTTGAAGTTAAATTACAAAAGCAAGGCTTCATGTCGTGTAGTGAATTACTTGGGCACTTAAGCAGTTCTTTAAAAAAGATTGAAGTATTTTTTTTTTCTGGTTTCATCTTAAAGTATTGAGCAGTATCAAACCTATAACTGATATACAAAGCAGAGGTCCAAATAATAATAATAGTAATCAATAATCAAATTACACTTCCTGTGGCACGTTAACAAAAAAACAGAACAAAACTCGATTTACCTGTAATATGACACAAACAGCTAATCATGCATTTTTGAGTTCCACATGTAACCACACACCTCACAAGAATTGTCAAACATGCTTAATTGGACTGTGTGCACTTACAAGCGCAGGTTAAAAATATGATTTCTCATCCATCTCAGATAATTAAATGCTTCAATTACAAAAAGAAGTTGAAGGCATAGAGCATCATGGTGTTAATTGAAAGTATGCAGGTATACGTTTCCAGTATATGTTCACTAAAGCGCAATATATCTCAAAACAGGCCTCCACAGCCAAGGTATTCAGATTTTCTACTTCCTCTGTTTGATTTTTATAAAACATGCATAGGCAGACACTTTTAAGTTTATTGTATTCTTTTTTTTTTCTTTACACAATATAGGTTCTCTATTTTTACTTTGTTCGCAATACTTAAAAAGAGAAAAAATTAACACTCAATTCCAGCAAGCCACGATAAAACTGCAACTCCCCCCCTTCCCCTTTCTAAAAAGAAACAAAAAATAAACATATTTGCAAATGATAGATAGGTAAATGTAAATTCCAGTTATGAAACTCAAGAAAAATAGGTATTCATTACAGAGTTATTTAGCCATTATACAGAAATAAATCAGGTCAAAGCACACACCAAAAGAACCTGAGGTAAGCATAATATGTACAAAACCATAAAACGTTTCATTATTTGGCATTTCGACAACATTGCAACATTCTTTTTAAGACTGCCTAATTATTTCAGAGCTATTTTATAAGAGTAGCAAAAAAAAAAGTTATCAATAAATAGTCCTTATTTAGTTTGTACACCCTTATATGTTAAAAACATGATCTCATGTTCCGTCCTTTTTAGTGCTGTATTTTTGTAAACGTACAATAGTTAGTAAGAAGTTACACGACTTTCCGTTTTCGATGTAAATGAGCAAGGGTCTTTCAAGAGGAAAAAAATATAAAGAAAAGAAATCACCTTTAGGATCTATCTATCCATCTTTCTCGTTCTCTCTGTCATACTGTGGTGTGGTGAAGCATCAAGCACAATCAAGGCCCGAGCGCTCAGAAATGTGAACCGGCAATAACTTAGCAGATTTGACTATGAACTAATATTTTGAAGGCATAACCAAAGACTAGCAAGTGACATGTCCCCCCCAGGTGTGAGCCGTATGCCTGCCCTCCACTCCTTTACCCTCTGCCCCTTTTCTGCGGTGGCGGGCCGAGATGAGGGGGCGGCCCCGTCGGCCAATGCGACGCCTGCTGCAGCCGGCCCTCACTGGATGTTGCTGCCGCTGCTGCTGGTGCTCCCCTTGGCGTCCGTGCCGTTGGTCTCCGAGGACAGGGCCTTGTTGAGGGAGTTGAGGCTGGCGTCGGAGGGCAGCGCGTCTCGCCGCGGCGGCATCCGCTCATTGATGCGGTCCAGGCCCTTGGCCTCCTCGAAGCTAGTGATCTTGTGCTGGGGTGAGAAGCCCTTGATGGCTGTTGAGATGCAAGAAAGAAGTAAGAAATGGGGAGAAGAAAATCAGGAGTGTTTTTTAAGAAACGAGACTAGACAGTTAAAATAATGGGGTCACACTTGCTCACATTCACTCACACGTCACTGGATTAAGTTTGGTTTGAGTTCATGGAATCATTTTACTGAGAAAATTATAACATAGAGAGTGTTTCTGAGGAGCTGCCGGCCAATTCAACAATGAAAAATGAGGAACTGAGGGGCTGTGGACTCCATAATAACTGCATGATAATGGTCCATAGAGACCTTGCTTTAAAAAGGAATGGTTTGACATTTATGCAGAAAACACTTATTCACTTTCTTATATCAGAGAACAAAGCAGCTTAGCATAAATATTAAAATGAAGGTAAGAAAACTCTGTATAAAACTAAATCAACAACTTTTAAACAGCTTTATCTGTACAATGAACAAAGACCATTAAGAAAGAGGGTCTACTTCTTGGCAGGGTGTAGTAATAAATCTTTTTTACCTTTTGCTGGATGTTACCTCAGCAGCTGCCGACTCTGGACTCACATTGAAGCGATATATAATATATGGAACTGCATCAATGTTCTTATTTCATCGGAGGCAAAGACGCGAATAAGCATATTTTCTTAAATGTCAAACTATTCCTTCACCTGAACAAAACAGCAGCACACACGATGTGACACATATCTGCACTATATAAACATATAAAGCCGAACTCCTCAGTGGATGAAGTGATTTTTCAAGATGTGTCGTTATCATTTGAATCAACAGCTTTTATTGTGCTAACGCATTTACATCATTAACATTTTGAATCTGGATGAACAATCAATATAAATGATGCAGCTCATTTTTATGAAACGACAACACATTTAACACCATTTATCGGAGTTTCAAAAATGATGTAGACTCGACAGACAAAAGGATTAAATAATCCTTCTTAATCTATAGAGGGCGCTCCTGACATTAGGGTCAACAGGTTTTCACTGTGCCGTCAATCCATGCTGTAATGAGAGGACCATCTAAAGGCCGTCTCAGTGTGAATCTGACACATTCTTATTCAATACGAGTTCAAAAAATGGCGGATATTAGAGATTATCTCGACTGAAGCACATTTCTGAACACCTGAGGACCCCAAACATCCACATAACCCCATCACATCACATCTTAAGAACGACAAAAACAGGGAGGAAGGAGAATGATCAAAGAGACGAAGAAAGAAAGAAAAAAGAACGAGGGGAGGAAACAAAACACTAGAGTGGAGCCCACTAAGACATTCACTTCCACAAAATAGAACCATGTTGAGACTGAGCTCACGTACAGAGACACTACAGAGGTACTTGGGGTGCTAACCACTTGTTTAGTCTGCTTGGAGCATGCAGCAATTAGGGATTGACTGGAGGCTATGAGGGGTGGAGGTCACAATTGAATTTAGAGTTTATATTAAACCAAATTACAATGAAGCGAATGGAAAATCGAGAGATGTTCCGATACCAGCATCGGAAATGCCTCCGATACTGCAGAAAATGGCGGGTACCGATCTGATACCATGTCTTTAAAAAATATTAAATTCACCCACATAAAACTGTAGTTTCATTCGTCGGTAGAAATAAAACGGCAATGTGCACCGAATGCAAGACTTCAGTTTCAAGGTACTTGAAGGAAGTAATTGTTACTAATTGCTAGAACTAGATTTCTTTTTTTGTTCTCTTTGTCAGGTATGACTTTCAAACTTGATAATAGAAGACGCTCTATGGCGCTCATTCTCTGTATGCATTTGTTTTTTAAAGAGTTTCACCTGAGCTGAGATGATAGTAATCTTCACTTCTATACAGGGTCAGCGGCATACAGCTGTTAAAATACATCATATACAGTAAGCTGTTGCACTGGTAGGGGATCGGTACTTGGCATAGGACTATACGCCAAAGGAAAGGAATCGGAAATCGTATAAGAACATCTCTAAGAAAATCCTCAACTGATCAGTTACCACTGAAATGAATAAGATCAGGCTGACCAGTGTCAACTCAAGACTGTCTTATTCAATTCAATGGGGGTAACTTTAGCATTTTAAGCACAGAATCGTTCTAACTTTCAGCTTGATCCAGTTTCATTTCAGCCCATTTTTAAACACAAAATGCGTTTTGTTACTTCCACCTTTCATAAAGGCTGTTTTTTTTTTTTATGGTGATAAAAAACCATGATTGGAAAGAAGATGACCCTTTTTTTCCCTAAGATGGGGTGGCGGGGTGGGGTGAGGGGGTGGGGGGGGGGACGTAATTTTAGAAAACAAATTGTGGGGAGCGAGGGGAGGGGGCGGGGCACCACAGGTAGCGTTTGTTGTGTTTGCTGCATAGCACAGGTCAGACACAGGTTATTAGCAGCTCACAGGAAAGAAACACGACACAGCAGGGCCACAGAGGATCCACATGGAGAGAGAAGCAAAGAGAAGAGTCTCGACACTACGATGGACTGTCCTCTATGGGGCTGGACAGGAAGTACTGGACAACTTGTAAAATGTAAATAGCAGCTGTTGCAAAACTACTATTTAGCTTGCAGTTGAGGTTGTTCTTGCGCCAAGAAGGAGGTAGTGAAATCAAAAAAAAAAAAAATTTCTGGAGAATTTGGATTTTAAAGCCTTTTCGTCAGTGGAGCGTTTGTCTCTACCAATTCAGATCAAACTTGTTTTATTATATTTTCAGAAAACTGCAACAACAATGCACAACTGCTTCAGTTGTTTCAAAGGGGAAATACCATTATGAGCTTTCATGGCAAGACTTCACTCTATTGTAAGATGGTAGAGCAGCACACTAACCACAGTATGCTGAGTGATGTAAGTACAATACATGTTTGTTCAGGGGACTCCCTTCCTCTGGAAAACAGCTTCAGATAAAGTTACCACATTATCTGATAACATCTTTCTGACCTTAACGTATTTCACACAAATCTGATGATTCCTTCAGGGTCTAAACAGAACTCAGTAATCAAGCAATAATGTTGTCTACACAAGATCTACCAAGCACTGGGGGACCTCTACATACATGTATGGCAGAACTGGATGTTTTTGTAATCTAATATCAATCTTTGTGAATTTTAAACTCTGAGTAATACAAACTTGTGACTTCAAATACATGTTGGCATTTGTGTCACAGTTTAACTTAGATGATGAGAAATGTCCTCCCAGATAGGGAATGTTTCAGACACAGGCTCTGCTTCAGCAGACATTGTTGAAACATTATACCTGGGAGCATCATCTTGTGTACTTTCTGAACAGTGCTACGTATTGCTCTTCATGTACACTTACACAAAACATATCTACAATAAGCTAATATCAGACAAATACATGAAGCACGTCAGTTCAGTGGTCTAATTCTACTGGCTACAACACGGTCATCTTATCTGTGTCTCTAGTATCATGTACCAGGACCTGACGATATTTACAGTTCTGACATTATGTGAATGTGAATCTTAATTCATTCAAGTGTCATTTTGATCCTGAAGCTGAATAATCCAAATCATCCAATGTAAATCTAAAACAAAAAGGAAAGTAGAACTCTGGGATTATTGTTTCTAGAAAAATGCTAAAACACATTTATTTTGTTGCGTAGTGTAGCATTTGCTTTGCACTCACTCAAAATCACAGTAATCATGAAATCTGTGCCATGAGAACCATTCCCCTTTGAAACCTGTGTGACCACAGGATTTCCTGACTTACTTACTTCTTTGTCTCTGTCACTAACACTATGGCACATTTTGTTAGCCCAAACACCCAACACACTATTCAAGCACCAGCGAGATGGATGAAAACCCAGTGGAGCCCCCTGTCTATTGCTATGAGAGAGCAACAGAAGAGGGCGGCCAGACCCATTTACCTTCATCAGCCTCAATAGCTTCAATAGTAGCTGAAGAGAAGAAGAGGGGGGTTGCAAAACGAATGAGAGAAGTGAGCAGGAGAGTTCATTTTGTCCCAGGAACAAGTCAATGGGCAGCAAAGACAAAAGCCAGTTGCTGACAACAAAAGGTTAACGTCATCTCCACATTTTTTTGACAATGGACACATGGGTGTTAGCAAAGAGAGGAAGAGGAGAGGAGGAAGAGGAGGAGAGAGGTGAGCCTTAGCTTTTTATTTGATGAGTTCCAGATCTGTAAAGGGAAGGTGACACGTTTGTGGCAGCGAAAGAACCTCACGGAGAGGATTTTTGGAAGAAGTCTGACAAATGTGTCGATGTTGTGAGGAATGGAGACTGCAGGGATAAACATTGATAGCAATGTGGTAAAAGCTGGAAATATATTCTTAACTTATAAAAACGTGGAGTTTGAAATGGCACAGATGGAAAACAGAGATAAGGTTTAGAAGTATGGTGTTTTTTCCCTCTCTTTATTCAAGAGCTTGCTCTTTTATTTGAGAGCTTGTTGATTTCACGTTCAGATTTTGTAATGCTTTCAGAATCCTGTGCTCACATTCAAATAGCTGCTCCTGTGCGAGTTCTAACCTGTTTGCTTCCCGGCAGATTTCCCCAGTGCGAGTGCAGGGTTTTCAGTGAGAGCATTAAAAATCTGAATGTGAAATCAACAAGTCCTGCTCTTTGACTGCAATAAAGAAAGGAGAAAAAAAAAGCCCACATGTAAGTGTATGCGTGATTGTGGGTTTCATGGCTGACGTTTGATTATTGCTGTAAAGTCGAAGCACTGTAGACAAACAAAGCGATGTTACTGTTGTGTGCGGCATGAAGCAGCATCTGGAACTGCAGGATGAGCATCTTTTGATAACAGATATCAAAAGTGCGGGGGGAGGAAATCTTTGGTATTTTTTAAACCACTTACCAATTTTCTACCGTCATCCCCGAGATGACAAATCAACATACAGTACGACAAGGTGACAGCAAAGTGACGGCTGTACAACACCGAAGACTACGTAAACGCCATGAGGATGAGAAGAAATGACGAGAAAAGAAGGCATGAGAGTCAAACTTCAAACAGAATGAGGTTGATGGAGTCAACATTACAGTAGAAGCACACTGGTGTCTACCTAAAGGAGCGGAGCAATGTGATTCTACCGATGTTGCAACAGGAATCTCTGAACATCACTCTGCCTCCACTGGGGTTCTCTTCAGTGTAAATGTTCTTCACCGTACACGTTCATGTGTGTTTAAGTCTACTGTCGGCACAAAACTAAATATACAGCCACCAGAGGAACTCTAACTTTCAAAGCTGAGAAGAAATGAACAAATATCCAGTTTTTACCATGATTTCTTAAAGATTCTCAGCATTTCTACGTAAATGTTCTAAGTAACAACTACATTCATTCATTGCCGGTGCTGCTGGAAGGAGCAGTCACTGGCTGTGGCTGAAAAGAAGAAGAAAGACTGTCTGGGCCGCTGCGTGACTTTGACACGAGATACACACTTGGTCTGATCAGCAGGCAGCGGACCAGCATGGGTTAAGGGTGCCGTTGGATAAAAGCCGGAAACACCCATTGACGTTGAGTAACAGAAGTGAACGTGTAGCTCAACATCATTTTTAAGTGCATTATCTATTCAGTACAATAACAAGTAGGTACACGATGCTATTTCAAAGTATTTGTCTTGTATTCATTGGCGTCTTTTGTTGGATTTAATTTTTTTTAAATATAAATTTGCTGTTTTTCAGTATTGAAATTCTGTTGTGCTGCTTTTCCCTTGCAAACTGACAATAAAGGTATTCTATTCTATTCTACTCTATTTTATCCTATAATAGTATCAAAACCTCCAAGAACAACCCTGTCCTCCAAAGTACACATTCCTGTACAGCAAACTGTAAAATACAACATTTTAGCTTCTATTCTGTTATTGTGACTTTACTGTTCAACAAATGTGGCACGTCAGTGTGATATTTCTGTGAGAACCTGTGAGAGGAGAGGGAAGTTAATTGGATTTCTGCTTTATTTTTGTGAATGAAAAGGCAGACAGCAGCGACACCCCCCTTTTCATTCACAGTTGGTTGTGTCAATTCCAGTTCATCCTTTGTATCAAAGAGAGTCCGGGGGTACTGCTCAGAATCACGAGCAAATTCGTTTTGGACAATCAGGTGGCCATGTCTGTCCGGAGTCCTGACTAATTTCAAATTTGTAGCGTTCGTAAAGGCTTTTCCAGAAAAAAAAAGCACTTACGTCCTTCGCTGCAGCAGTTTGTTAAAACTCGTTTAGGGAGCGCTTGGAATTCAACATGAGAGGGTGAACTGAACTCTAAACTCATCTTACAGAAAGAAAAAAAGGGAAAAAATAAAAAAATAACAACAGAATACTTGCACAACCGATTATACCTGCAGTTTCTAGGGAGAAAAGAGAAAGAAAAAGATACAGGTAATATTTGAGATAAAAAACCAGTGGTATACAGAAAGAGACGAGGACGGGAGGACAGTGTATTAATGCGAGACATCCAGAGGGAGACACATTCGAGAAGGGACAGGGACAAAGAAAATCGTCTGTCTGTAACAAATATAACTTGATATTTCATAGTCATTTATCCAGGAAAAATGACTTCATTGAAATATATATAAGTGGAAGGAAAACTGCACAGAGCTAGAAATATTTAATTAAACATAAAAAACGAATATAAAATACTGACTGACGCTGCCAGAAACATTTAACTACACTTACAGTATTACTCTGAGGCTGCAAATTGAAATCCCTCCACCATCACTGAGGAAAAGAGGGAAGACATTGCTACATGTACTTTACCCTAAATACTGAGCTAGCACTTTCTTCAGGGTACTGCTGTGTAAGGGGAATGTGTGTGTGTGTGTGTGTGAGAATCCATTCTGGGGGGCCATAGCTTTGAGGTGTCTGTGTACTTGGTGACAGTCTTACCATTCTGCAGCTTCTCTTTGCCGCCGGACAGCACTCCGCTTGGTAGCATGCCCGTGGGGGTGAGTCCCTTCAGAGTCAGCACGCTCTCGCTCTCCTCTCTGCAATGTAAACAGAGAAATAATAACATCGTCAATTTATCATACGACAAAAACAAGAACTTGTCATTTCTACATTATACTGCCAGATGTGTTGTTGTGTTGTGGGAAACAGGGCAACAGTGGAACTTACAGTTCACACAGGGACTTTTTCACGTTAGCATACCTGAGCACAGAGAATACTCGAGCCATCTTTCCAATGGCGCGGATCTTGTTGCGGATGACCTCCTTACGGGCAGAAGCGGTGGCACCTGAAAAGGTCGCACAAAGTGTGACAAACCTAGAACAGTGTAATCTTCACTGCATTGCCTGTGCATGGGTGTTTTTTAAAAACTCCAAGTGCCTTATCATTTTTTGAAGTACCATAGAATTTAGTAAATTAATGTTTGTTGGACTATTAGTTGAATCCAGAGGTGCATCAGACCACGATGCAAACACAATGTGGTTTGAATCCATTCACGTGAAAAAACAATCGAGTCGTTGCTTGTAGTACTCAACTGTAGTTCTCCTACTTGACATTTTGAAACCTGATTATATCATAAATAACCTGTTGCTTTAAGACATCAGAGTCCTGCACCGGGTCTAGCACCAACAAAAAAGTTGTGTAACGGATAAAAATTATATTTAAATAAATACTTGGATGCAGGTACAAATGAACATAATGCCTTTTTTTCTGGAGATTTCAAAAATTAAAATGATCTAAATCAGCTTATTTGCAGCCTAGTGTCCTGCAAAGATTTGTTTAATTTAAAACTATGACATCACCTTTGACCCCTTCACTGTCACTACAGACAGCTAACCAGCTATTACATCAAATGGATCCCAGAGACACTGAGGAAACACATTGACAGCTGCAGGAGAAGAGGTGCTGTGACGATTAACAAATACTTTTCTGAGAACACAACACGGGAGGACTAGGAGGCCAAAACCCATTTAATGTGAGTGACTGTGCATGTAGCATGTTGGTGTAACCACCGGTGATGGGTCCTTTAGCGGGACATATGTTAACGGGTGACTCAGAGATAATAGCGGGTGAGTGTGCAGCGCTTTGCTGGTGCGGGTTAGCAAAAATGGACCCGTGCAGGACTCTGCTTGTTGTTTTCAACGAGCTTGATGAGCACACGCTACATGGATTTTCCTGTGTTGTGTTAAGTTGAAGAGACCCAAACTGGATTTTTTTTTTCTGGACTGGAAAAGAAAACAGTGTTTAAAAGAGAAAAACCGTTTTGCAGTGTAGCAGTTTTAAAGGCCCCAGAGAGCTGGTGTGGAAAAATGCACGAATATGAAGGATGGACATGAAGCTGGTGTGTGGTGAGCGTTTGGGTAAAAAGAAGAGGAGATGGTCTGGTTTGTTTAGGACTCTCCCTCTCATCCTCTATCCTCTATTGAATAAAGCATTATGACTTAAACATTCTGTTCCCCTTGTGTAAGTATTTATTTTAACTTTTAACTTGGCTAAAAAGAATAAGCTGTTTTCGTTGATGTCAGTTTTGGGCTTAGCTGAAGCCGTAATATTACTCACATATTTTTTCTGGAACAACTTAATTAAAAACAACAGTGAGACTCAGAAGTGTTAAAAAGGTGCTTTAGAGAGTGACGTTAGTTGACAGGCTGAGATGCAGAGAGCAAGCACCGCACAAAATTCTCTATCTACAGCGGCACACACTGGTATGGCTAGTGTTTGTACCTTTTTTGGGGGGATATATTAGCTGTCCTTCTCATGAAAACAACCCCCAGGAAGAGAAGACAAGAAAAAGGACAGAGTGATCAGTGGATGGCTGTAGAATGAAAAGAGGAAGCGGCGGAGAGGTGGCAGCGAATGGTGAAATAAGAGGCAACAAAGCACGGCAAGACGTGTGAAAGAAAAGCGATTGAGCCTTGAACACAAAAAGTCTGGAAAACATAAAGAACAGAAATTAGATGAGGCAAACCAAGGTAGTGACAACATCACAGCATGAGAGATAAAAGAGGGAGAATGAAAAAGAAATGTGAAAAAGAGTAGTGAGGTTTCAAATATCACTTGGAAAACAATAGCAGATAAAGAGAGGCAGTAAAATGCAAATCAGAGATTATGAGGGCACAGAAAAAGGAGATTGTGAGTGAGAGAGACAGACATAGGACAGAGCACTCCACAGGAAAATTAACAAAATAAATGTGAGAGTGGAGATGGCTGCAGAACTGAAACAGAAAGAATAAATGAGCTTGAGAGGAGACACCACAGCGAGGAAATGTGAAAATAAAGTGAATCAACTGAAAGCACTGAGCGTATGAGTCGATGGAAAGTGATGAGTAGTTAAAAGATGTGCTCTGTATCCACTGTACCCCTAAAAAACTCTGGAAAAAATTGATTCTAATATATTATAAAAAATCTGAAATATGCATTCAACTGCCACTGCCTTCCTGTTGCTAAAACGAATTATTCAAAAT